CCAAGGGCATCGGGTCACCGGCCCGCGTCCCTGCCAGCAGCCCTTGGTGAGGAAAGACGGACGCGCTGCTGGTGGCAGCCCCCAGGTTCTCCCAGACTCAGGTTTGTCTGTTCTCCGCACATGGATGTCTGTTCTCATGTTCATTTCCTTCTCCTTGGCCGGAACCAACCCCCGTACCAGGCTCAGGTCTCCTCAAGCCCAGTGGCCCTGCTGCTCTGTCTCCAACTTACATAAAAGTTTAAATCCCTCGCCCCCTGCTCCAGCGGCTGCCAGCACGGCCATCAGAGGCGAAATTCTCGGAGATAATTAACATATCAGATGCTGGTACCCAGCCTCCTCCTGGGGTTCTCAGGTTAGATGCTATGAGCCACGCACGTGATTCAGGCCGTGGGACATATTTCTGTGGGTGGCTGTGTTTACGCTTGAAGGGTTCCAGCTAAAAGTCCTCCACTGTGGGGGCTCTCCCCCGCCCCTGCCTGCCCCGGGAGAGGCGAGGTGAGATTGGATCAAGTCTTGTTGAACAGGGTTAACCTGCGGGGGAAACAGCGTTCAGGGAAGTAATTATCCATTCACACGGAGCTGGCTACAAAGAAAGTGAGAAAATGGCCTTCTCAGAACTCCCATGAAAAACATAATGGAGTTAATATTCAATAAAGGCGTTGGGCAACCGCCCCGCGTGCTTTTCCTTACAGTGTGTTCTGATGTGTCCTTGATCGGGGCCTGTTTTGTTTATGATTAATGAATGACTCACCTTGGGCCCTGTTCCGCTCAATGCATACCTCATTATGAATCTCAAGAGGTCATTTGTGTTTTCGGATTTAAAAATTCAAACACACACACACACACACACACACACACACACACACACACGGCACCTCTTGGTGCGTTCTGCAGGGACAGCGTTGGATATCGGTGACAAAATGTGCGCAGGGAGAGCTGGAGGGGAGCGGGCCTGGGGGCTGTTTGGGGGGGCGTGGCTTTGCTTTGGAAAGGAGGGAACTTTGGGAAGGGGGAGAGAACCCCTGAGCCTGGGTTCGGATGCTCAGGAGGCCCTAACGCCACGGGGCCTGAGCCCAGGGGGTCTGTGGCATCGGCCTTGCCCTGGGGGCGCCACAAATCAGGGGGGGGCTTGGGGTGCGTAGGACGGGCGGGCGGGCGTGAGCAAGGGCGTCCCTAGGAGGGGCTGGTGGAGGGGGGCTAAAAGGCACAAAAACAAATCAAAAGTAAACAGTCTGAGGCCCACGCCTCCGATCGGATCAGCTCTCTTTCTCCTTTCCACGCTGACCACCTGGCTCACTCTTCATCGCTTCTCTTCCTCTTTCAAGGGGCTCCCTCAGTCCCCTTTTTTATTCATTCATATTTAAACGTCAGAATGGGCAGGAGTCTGCCATGGGAGCTGCCAGAACCCAGATCTGATGCAGAAGGTCATGACTGGGGGATGGGGGAATAGGGGGTGGGATTAAACTGTATGCCTGTGTTTCTGCCAGGTTCCTGACCAAACCCTCCGATCAGGAAACACACGTGTACGTCTGTATCAGTGCGCACACAGGCCCGCACAGCAGAGGAAGACAGCGGGCAGACACGTGGAGGCCGATGGGTTTGCGGGTACAGGCTGTATATTTCAACACAGACGGGGACCCTCTGAGTGGAGACTCGTGTATCGGGAACCCGTCCCCCGCCTCGGGGAACATTCCTAATCCCATGGCTTCCAGCCGGCACCCACACACCTGTGACTTATGACCTGTGGGCCCTGCCACGACCCCACATGTTTCCACAGGGTACGCGTGTTCACCTGGGCGTGCGAACGAGGGCGCGTCGCCCAGAAATAAACGCACGGCCATGAGCAGGACTTAGCGGTTGACTAGGGATGCCAGCTCCCGGGGGACACAGTTCGCTGGCCGCCTAACCGACGTTACTGTGGGCCAGGTGATTGCTTTCTGTGAGAGAGGAGCCGCGTCCTTTGATCCCAGCCACCGAGACGGGGATTAAACCACAGAGAGGCTCGGGGACCCCCGCGTGACTCTGGGCGGGCGAGGGCCCTACGTAGCCGGTGACCCTGGGCAGGACGCGTCCCCATGCCAGGCTGCATCGCTCCCAAGTGAAGGCTTTGGACTAAACAGCCTGTAAGTTGTTTCTTGCCATCCATCATCTATATTTTTTATTCTAGAAATATTGTCCTTCCTTGCCGTGGTCTGTGGGTCTGTGGGTCTGTGGGTCTGTGGGTCTGTGGGTCTGTGGGTCTGTGCCGAGAAAGAAGTACGCATGTGGCCCAGCAGGTGTGGCTCAGTGGTTGAGCCTCAACCCAGGAACCAAGAGGTCTCCGGCTCGCTTCCCGGTCAGGGCACACGGCCAGGTCAGCTTGTGGGCTCCAAACTCAGCAGGAGGCATGCAAAAGGCCGCCCGTCGATAATGTTCCTCTCTCGTCGATGTTTCTATCTCTCTGTTCCTCTCCCTTCCCCCCTCTCTCTCAAAACCAATAAAAACACTTTAAAAAAAAACATGTACGTGGAGCTAACGTGAGGGAGGAACTTGAAAACTTGGAAATGGGGTGGCTGGGGTTGCATGACCAGCGAGGGACATGCCATGCACAACCTCCCTAAACCTACTGGCCTACAACTTGCCCACGTCCAAAGCAAGGTGAGCGTCCAGGAACCGACGAGAAGGCTTCCTCACATCACCATAAAACATTTTTTTAAAAGACTCAAGATCTGAACAGCAGTACTGATACCTTTTTTGAACGTACTGCAAAACTAGAGACTGTGAATGGGGCAAAAAAAATTTTTCAGACGATCACCCCACTGTCTTACAGAAGAAAAAGTTCCCACTAATTTGAGAGAATGGAGAAGGCGCCCATAGGTGGCTTGGGGATCAGTTTTATCACAGGTCACACTGGCAACCATCACCTCTGTGTGTTAGCCTGAGCGCTAAGCACGCCAGCGTGGAAACCCTCTGATTGGCTGTGCCTTTCCTCTTTGCCAGCGGTTCTCAACCTGTGGGTCGCAACCCCTTTGGCGGTCGAACGACCCTTTCACGGGGGTCGTCGAAGACCATCCTGCAGATCAGATATTTACATGACGATTCATCACAGTAGCAACATGACAGTGATGAAGTAGCCACGAAAATAATGTTATGGTTGGGTCACAGCATGAGGAACTGTCTTTAAAGGGCCAGAAGGTTGAGAACCACTGCTCTTTGCGGTCACCAGGTAGCAGCTGGTGCCTCCAGAAGCCCCACCCAGGGACTTTTTCTTCCATCTCATTGGCCAGAACTTCCTCCTGCCCCAGGGACCCCCAAAGACATCACTAGATGGTCCCTGGGAAGATGGAGGTTGGCCCAGCTGCCCACCTGTCTCGGCCACACCTGCCCAGCCTCCCCTGGCTAATGAGCGTCGGCTCTCACGTGACGCTTGGCCACACTTCTCACATCTGTGAGCACCGGGAGCTGCCTCATGTGCTTCCGCCCCGGGAGCCCCGAGCCTGCGGGCTGGGCACGTGGCTCCTCACAGGGTGACCTTGTCTTTTGTGCGAGGGTTCGGGTGGGCGAGAAGACCACCTGCTCTAGCAACCCTGCTGGCTGCCTCCTACACACCTCCCCGTAAAGGCAGCTGAGGGCGATGATGGTCATGGCGGTTCCTCCTACGAGAGAGAGGACAGAGCTCAGCCCACTCACACGACAGGAAGAACGTAGGGCGACAGGAGCCAAGGATGCCTGCACGGGAGTCGGGTGATTTCTGCAGGGAACTGAGTGCTCTCTCCAACCTGCAGTCACTGTGTTCGGCTTTTGCTAGTACCACCCCTCCCCCTTGCTTCTGAACAATCCAGCTACTATTCATCTCCGCCCATGGAATTCGGGGTGAATAGTCCCATCTCTTCAGAAACGTCTAGAAGGCCACACAGATAACGCCCAGGAGGTCAAAAATGGTCTCGGAGGGCTAGACAACTGAATGGAACTCAAAAAAGGAAGGGTTAGGGAAGAGGAAGGGGAAAGGGAATAGTAGGACGAGGGAGAGTGGCTGCAAAGACCCCGGAGCAGCGGGAAGTGTGGCCCTTGGAAGGAACC